TCGTGGCGCCTTGAAGGTGGCGGGTGGTTCACTTACTCCTCATGAGTGGAAGCGCCGGGCCCCCTGGCCACTGCTGCCGCCTCCCTGCCCCCGCTAACCTCTCGGGGCCGCTGGGTAGCAGCTCCGCTCCGGCTGCCGGCTCAGCGGTCTCCGGTGTCTCTTGCATAACGCTGGCAGATTACTTACTCCTGGGTGAGAGTCCTGGATATTCCTACAGCATTTATTTCCCTCCACTGCACGCTCAGGGCCCTGCTCCCGCCCCTAGCGCCCCGCCCCTCCACGGTTCAGGCGGTGCTGTTCAGTGCCTGGGCCAGTGGGGAAGACGGCTGCTTGTGGGCAGGTAGGATGGGGGCAGGAGGCGCTGCAGACTCACTGAGGCCCTGGTCGCCTCTCCTCCTCTCCCGGCCTCAGGATGGCAAGATGGTCCCCTATGGCTTCGACAACCAGACCAAGCACTGTCTGCGGCATCTGGGGAGGCACTACCAATTCCAGATCCGGGACCTACGGCCTGAGGACGCTGGCATTTACCAGGTCAGGGTGGAGGATGCTGAGGTCTTCTCCACGGAGCTGGAGGCCAGCGGTGAGTGGTCTGCCCGGCAGGAGCCTGAGTGAGGGGCTCGTGTCAGTGCCATGGAGGTAGGGGGAGAACGTGGCCTGGCCCCCTTGCAGTTGGGCGAGGAACACTTACTCAGATGGCTAGAGTGTGATGACTCCTTTTCCAAGTCTCGGTCCGAGGTCTGTGCTCCTTGATGCTGGGCTGGGCTCCGCCGAGTCTGTCTCAGACGGAGAGCACCCGGGTCACAGACCACCTGCAAAAACCCTTCACTCTCAGGCCAAATCCAACTAATTCCACAACTTCTAGAGCCTCACTCCTTGCCAGCATGGGGCCTGCTCTCGGACAACCCACCAGCAAGAGTCTCCACTGGGTCGGGCACCCTGGTGCCCGTGCAGGCCCCATCCCCCCCTGCCGCCCGCCCCTTCTGCTCCAAGCCCCGCCCCCAGCACCTGCCAGCCCCAGGGCCTTGGAGGGAGGAGAGGCGGGTGGGGAGCGCTTCCCACAGGCAGATGAAGAACTCGGCTCAGGTCAAGGCTGAGGAAGAGGGAGAGGGGAGACCTCCAGCAGACCTGGCTGCGGGGACGGTGCTTTGAAACGCCTGGAAACTGCTTGATGTGGGGAAAGGAACAGGGGCTTTGGGGCCAGCCAGCCCAAGGGGCGAATTCCGGCTGGACCACCTCTTAGCTGGGCAAGGCTGGGGCAAGCTGCTTAACTTTGAAAGCCTCCATTTTCTTACCTGTGAAAGGGAAACACTCACACCTGCCCCGAGTGCTGGTGAGGATTAACCAGACAACAGGCGTGAAGCCCTGTGCTCAGAGCGCTGGCTTCCTTCCTGTGCCTACCTGGCCCCCAGATAGAACGTTCAGATTTAGAACGACAGGCTTCCAGGCCCAGAGGCTCATTCTTCATAACCTAATTATAACTCCTCATTTTATGTGCGGGAAATTGATACCTGGGGTGAGGAGTGACCTGTCCAAGGTGACACAGGGAGCTGTGGCTAAGCTGGTCTGAGCCAGAGATTCTGAGCTCCCAGCCCCGCTGTGTCAGGTCACACGGGGTCCTGCCGCCCAGCTGACCCTCCCGGTCCTGCTCCCCCCAAGACATCCCCCCCAGAGTGGTGGTCCCGCTGGCGGACGCCCGCTGTGAGGAGCACGGCGATGCGGTCTTCGAGTGCACGCTCTCCAGCCCCTGCCCCAGCGCCGCCTGGAGTTTCCAGCACCGGCCGCTCCGACTCAGTGACAAGTACGAGGTGTTCGTGTCCTCTGATGGCCTGACCCACCGGCTGGTGGTGAGAGGCGCCCGCTTCGCAGACATGGGCCTCTATTCCCTGGGCACCAAGCTCCACGCCTCCAGCGCCTGGCTGGTGGTTGAAGGTGAGCGGGCCACCGCAGCCTTCTCTGCCAAGGCCAGGCCTCGGGGCTGCGGAGGGTGGAGGAAGGCCAGGGCGGCGGCTTCTGTTGTCAGTCCCTCGATTTGGTGACTCCTTCACTCTCAGAGAGCGAGGAAGGCTCCTTGGATCTAATCCTGTGCCACTGCAGTGCCGGCTCCTCACGGCCAGCCCACCCCTGCACAGCGTGTCCACGCCACCGAGCCTCAGATTACTCCGGGGGGCGTGGGACAGTGCCCAGGTCCAGGATGGATGGGAAACCCCGGGTCAGGCCAAAGAACACTTACACCCCTAGGGTTCTCGGTTCAAGGCGACCCCAGGACATTTGTAAGCCAGGCAGTGGGACAAGGTGATTTTTAAACACCATGCAATTGCTTGTTGCAAATGACTTTTGGTTTCTGTGTTTTCTCCTTAAGCCCTCACCAACCACCTGGTGGGGGGTGGGGTGAGCTGCAGGTTCAGGACAAGGGCGGTGGTGGTGGGCTTCACCCACCAAGGAGCTGGAGCAGTCTGGCCACCTCCAGAGACAGTCAGCTTGCTTCTCTCCCGGGGAAACCAAGGGTCACACAAGGCCAGAGGTGTCTTGGCCTGACTTAACAGGTCTTTTCTCTTGTTTCTCTCTGGGGACGCTGACCTCTCACCAAAGCTGGGAAGGATAAAAGCCTTCTGGCCGCAAGCACTGACCGCCAGCTGCAGGCACAGGGAGCCCAGACCCCAGAAGATTCCAGGAGCGTCCGAGGCGAGGAGGGGAGACCCAGAGAGCAGGACCCCATGGGGGTCTCCCTCCAGGAGCCCAGGCTGGCATCCGGGCGCACAGCCAGCCCAGACAGAGGTGGCCTGGGTGGGCACGGCTTCTCCCTGATGGAGGTCGAGGAGGCAGCTGACTCAGCCTGGGGCCCTGGGCAGGCAAGAGAGGGCTTCCTGGAAGAAGAGGGCAGAGTCACTCCTCTTGGGGAAGATCAGCTCCATAGAGAGGAAGGTGGGGCCGGGAGCCTTCCAGGGGCTCCCCGTCCGCAGAGGGAGGGCCTGGGATCAGGGCTGGGCCTCCCGGAAGGGCAGCAGCAAGACGCTAGCAGAGACAGAGAAGGGGACAGATATGCTGGCATGGCGGGAAGCTGGGAGGCAGGGTCTGGGCATCCTCAGGTGGGAGGACGGGGGCGCAGCGGGGAAGGGAAGGAGCCCAGACAGGACCATGGGAGCCGACTGGACGGGCATGGCCTGGAGCGGCCCTGGGGCGCTCAGCTGGGACCTGGGACGGGAACGCAGGCCCTGCGGGGACCCCAGGCTGATCCCTTGGGGTCTTGGTCAGGAGGGGAAGGGACGGAGAGGATTCTGCAGGGGGACAGCCTGGATGAGATGGAGGGAAGGGGTAGTCTGAGCAGGAAAGTGGGCAGAGGAGCCTCGAGGGCAGCCTGGGGAAGTGGGACTGGCCTGGGGGAAGCTGGAGGCAGTGGCTGGGAGGGCTCACTGCAGGAGGCAGGTGCTGGGGGTCCAGGGGGTCCCAAGGGCTGGGAAACGGGCCTACAGGGGCTCAGGGGAAGGGCAGGCCGGGAGACGGCAGGGGCCTCTGGTGAGGCTGGGGAAGATTCTAGAAGCCCCCAACATTCTCAAGCCTGGACAGCTAGTGATGGCTCAGGGGGGCCAGGAGGAGTGGGATCTGGTCCTGCTGGTTGGCAAGTGGCCTCTGGGGCGCCTGGGACAGAATCTGACAAGGGCGCTGGTTACAGGCATGGGTCACTGGTGCTCGGAGGAATGTGGCCTGGAAGCCAGGATGGTTACGGTCCTGGCAGAAGCGGGTCTGAGGGACTTTCCAGTCTCCAGAGTGGCTCAGGTGGCCCTGACGGAGGGCCGGAGGGTGAAGCTGGGCTGCGTGCAGGGGCCAGGGCTGTATCCGGAAGCGGGGGGGACACCGGCCCTGTGCGAGGGCGTCGTCCCAATGGTGGTCTGGGGAGTCCTGGGACAGCAGGCTCTGTGGGTAGAGGTGGCCTCGGGTCCCCTGTCACTGTGGGAACTGCTGGGGAGGGCCATGGGCATGCAGGAGCTGAACCAGGGGGCTCTAGAAGAGGAGGGCCTTGGAGTCGGGATGCAGATCACGGGGGCCTCGGAGCCTCCAGAGAAGGAGGCCACAAAGACGGCCCTGGGGGCTCAGGGCCCCTGAGCGCAGCAGGCAGAGTGAGTGATAGGGACGGGGCCTCTAGAGCAGGCTCTGGCTACCTGGACGATGCCAGGCGCCCCAAGGCACTGGCTTCTCACGCTGGGATGCCTTCTGAGAGCTGGGGGGCTTCTGGGTCAGGCAAAGTGCTGGGTTATGGGGATGGATCAGGAATTCCAGGACCTCAGCAAATAGGAGGTGAAACAGCTTATGGAGGAAGGTCAGGGGGTCTTGGGCCTGAGGGGAGGGAGCCAAGCAGTGAAGCAGGCTTTAGAGGTGGTTCGGGGGGTCTCAGAGGGAT